TTTATATTATTTTAAAAAAAAGAAAAACTTCTAACTTTTTTCTAAGTTAATATATATATATATGTATGTATTTTCAATTTACTTTATATTTTTTTAAATGTTATTTTGTAGAACACAACTCTTCAAAAAAGGGAAAGAAATTAATTTCTTTATAAAAAAAGGAAAGAAATTAATTTGGTTCTTAAATTCTTTTCCAACTTCTTTAATCTTTCCAAACTTTTATTTCTCAAGATTTTCTTGTATGTCTTATCTACTCATACTTACACATTCAAGTTCGACGAATTCAATAAAAATTTAAAATTTTCATTTTAGTGGCTATATTCATTTAAAAAAGTTTCCAAACTCACAGAGAAGTCCGACGATGTTATTTAAATTTATTATCAGTCAATTTTACTATTTATCAATAAGAATGATATAATTAAAAAAAATTATTAAAATACAACATTAGGACTAAAATATAAAAAGGAAAGTTAATTTTGGAGAAGGGCAAAAAGAGGGAGTGTTGTATACGCGCTGTTAGCGAGAGTGAGAGAGAGGGGCCTGGGATGACCGTGGTGAGCTGGCAATGGCAGAGAGTGGCACTTCTCTGGGGCAGAGCGCTCGAGAAATCGTACGGCCCATCCGGTTTTTCAGCCTCAAAGCCCTTTTTCTTATTTATTCCTTTTCAAGGGCTACCACTGTATTTTACGTCTTAAAATACTAGTTCGGTTCGTTCGTGTATTTCTTTAGTTTAATTTAATTTTTGTACTTCTAAAATATTTATTATAATTTTGTTATTTTCAACTTTAATTCATTTTAGTTAATATATTTTTAAAATGTTCGTTTTAGTTTATACACCTTTAAAAAGTAATCATTTTGGTACTTTAATTCACTTTTTAATCTCATTTGTTATCGTAATATCAATACGACGATAATTTAATATATTTTTTGAAATATAATCCTAATTTTATATTAAAAAATTTCTACAATATATTTCTTGAAATGTAGTGATAATTTTATATTAAAAAATTTGCATGATGTGTAAAATTTATGTTAAAATTTTGAAATTTATGAACCAAAATGATTAATTTTTAAAAGTATAAGAACCAAAATGAACTATAAATTAAAAGTACATATACTAAAATAAATATTTTAAAAGTAAAAATAAAACAAAACAAAATAAATCAAAGTTTAAAATACACGCCCTTACAAACAAATTTTAACCTCCCTAGTTTATTTCAATTAATGCTTTTATCATTTCAAAAATTCTCATTTTTCACATTTTTTATTTTAAAAAATTGTTCTCATGTGTCATCACAATAATATAATCTTCAACGAAACTAAATTAGTGAGGCCTTAGATAAGGGTAAGACAAACATTTTTAGTCCTTGTAATTACGTTAAAGTAATAATTTAGTCCATGAACTTTAATTTGTAACGATTTAGTCCTCGTACTTTTAAATTGATAACAATTTAATCCTTGAATTTTAATATGTAACAATTTAGTCATTATAATTTAAAGTTGATAACAATTTATTCCTTATCGTTAAAATTTTTTTGTTAAGTTTTTTGTAGGTATGAATTAGAAAGATTAAATTGTTATATGATAAAATTTGACACTTAATTTTAATAAAAAATTTTACGATAGGAACTAAATTGTTACAAATTTTAAACTACAGGGACTAACTCGTTACAAGTTAAAGTTTAGGGACTAAATTGTTACTCGAGGGAAAGTATAGGGACTAAATCGTTACAAATTGAAGTTGATGGATTAAATTGTTACTTTAGTGAAATTATTTTTTAATCAAAATTTTATTATAAATGATAAGTTTTGAGAAGTTTGTTCAATAATCAATTTTGATTTTATTTTATTTTTAGTTAGTGGGGTTTTGTTGTGATAGTTTTGATGGAGATGAGTATAAATATATACAACCAAATCCTAACTTGATGTAGTAATTGTAACAGGGATAAAATAAATTTTTTGTCCTGGTCTCTAAAAAAGTGACACTTTAAACTCCAATTTTTACTAAATTTATTTGACGGAAAAATGATCTTGTAGAGTATGAAAATGAGAAATGGGAGTTTTGAGAGTGAGCTCTCCATCTTTGAACTTAAATATAAAGACAGAAAATAAAAATACTACTTTATGGATGAAATCTGAATTGTTGCTAATTAGAACGAAAAATCTTTTTTTTTTTTTTTCTGTTTTTTAGGAGGAAGTAAATGAAACAGAGCTAAACCACATAAACATTAGCACCAATATGGTCAAAGGTAGATAAATTGACCAGCCATGGAGGAGAAGAATCGACGATCCAACAAGCTGAGATTCCATCTTCACAAGCTTTCCTTGCTATTTCGTGTACCACGGAGTTCGTTCTTCGACTGCATGTCTGAAATCGTTAATGGTGTCAAAGATCTCACATTGAAAAGAAAATTGATCTTACTACTCCTCCCAGCCAATTGATTATGAAATAGAATGCAATGAATATTGATAGATGGGAAGAGAGAACACCACCCTTCTGATGTCTCGATGAACAGTTAGAACTTCTAAGAGATACACAAAAATGTTGCTACCCGTTTCATCATGGAAGAATACCTCTTTTTTTTTCTTTTTTGCAGTGCAACACAAAAACTTACCAATCCTTAGAGTGTCTTTTTTCTAAAAGCAATTTTTTCTGAACCTTTTCGATGTACCCTTAACGTATATAGAAGAGTAAGGATGACAAAAAAAATTCCATGCAAACAAGCAAAAACTTGACTTTAACGAGACGGGGCTCTCTGATGAGTATCTATTTCTTCTTAGAACTGACTCATTTCCTAACTCGACACTCGAATCGACCCCATTTGTGCATGCAATTAAAATGGCTGACCATAACAATTTAATTTTTCCCTCGTGCAACTTTAATTTCTTTCTTTTCCATGGGCTAATTAATGGAGTTAAATTCAACAGACCAAATAGGTAACAAATCTCCATCTCCAACTCACTTTCGTGTTTTGGGGAGTCTATCTATATCTATATGTTCTCCAATTTTAACCCATCCTAATTCTAAGAGAAACAAATAAGTTTTTTTTGAGAGATATCCATCCAAATGTAGAGCACTTATTTTATAGAAATATTGATAAAATATTAATGTCAATGGATATTTCTAAAAAAATTATAAAAATAAAAAGTTTGTAACAAAAAATAAAGTTAACAAATAAACCTTTCGCACTTTTTAAATTAGTTAAAAATTATGTTCATATTAGTAATATTATTTTGATATTTTTTATTTTATTGATCTTTTTACGACATTATGGAAATGTCGATGTAGAATCTATACTCATATAGAAATGTCAACATAGATATCTTGATTGGAGATATATATCAATTACGCCTGAGCTATGTTCATTTTGACCCTTCTCTATTATTCTTTCTTTAACATATCAATATTTCTCTTTAACATTTCTATTATTAAATGTGAGCTAAAATATTAGAGCCAGTTCTATTATTTTTAAAATTTTAAAGTTATGTTCATTTACTAATCGTTTTTTCAAATGATGTACATTCAAAATTATTTTTTTGTAATTATGGCCAAATTTTCAAAATTAAAAAGTAAATTTTGCTTCGATGCATGCTCAAGTTGTAACAATCGATCATAAGCATTTCTAATTTAAGCGTTAGTTCTTAAAATACCTTGGGGCTAAGTCAGATTTAATTATATGATTTTTATTATTTTTTAATGGTACTATGTCGATATGCTCCGATTAAATATATTTGATTTTTTCTTTCTTTTTTATATCCTTAAAAAATATGTAATAAATGTCTTATACGATGAGTTGAGCTAGGTTTATTATATTTACCTATAATCCTATGCACAAATGCATGTCATAGATATATTCTCCATAGAAATAGATGGCGTTAATTGCCCTCGAATATGGTCATCGTTACCATCATAAACATGAATATGTATTCATGAACATGCTCACTACGTGTAGCCTTACTCCACCTGAAGGAACCTAATTAGCTCATGAACTAATCAATATAACTATCAAAATTAGTCAACTTGAGTACGGGTAAATTGGTTAAGGCATGAAGTAACGTTCTGTGAAGTTAGAGGGTCGAATCCATTCATACATCTTTGACCTTGTTATGCTCTAACGGCTTTCAATCTTTACCAACCTGAAAACTTGATAAAATTTCTACTTTAGTGTTAAGTTTTCCTTAGAAGAATCATTTTAAAAAATATATATTTGGCAATGAATTATAAAACATATATTTCGTATCAACTTGGTAGAATTTTAAAGCAAAACGACATCAAAACCTTTTTTTTTTTTTTTGAAATTTGTGAATATTAGTAGAGTAATATTCAATGTTTGATTTTATGTGTTGATCAAACCTAATTAATTTCGAGTAAAACCGGATCTCGTTGAAATTAGTGAGTTTTTTTTAAATTACATGGTACATTGTGAGAATTAGAGATTAAAAATTGCAAATACACAACTTGCCAAGTTTTGCCTTGTAACTTTAACGGAAAATTACTGTGAAATCAACTTTGACCCATTTAAAAATGGCCCTTTTCACTCCTTCACAATAAAATTTAATCAATATAAAGAATGGTTCATTCTATCACATCAACTCAATAGAAAATTGAAGATATCCCTCCATTTACAATATGGTCCATTGAGAACAAAAATCTACTCATCAATCAAAACATAGCTCGATTAAGACACCAATGACCTTCACCTGCACTGGTCGAGCTCAAAAAGAACGAAGAATCTAATCGATTTCAAGTCGTAAAGAATATCCTCTTATCTATCTCCCAATTCTCCTATTCTCACTAGTAACAACATGAAAAGAAAGTCAAAAAATAAATAAAAGTAATTGCTATGAGAGGATAGAAAGATTGAAGATATCCCATTGATAATGACTTCAAAGAAAGCCTAATTGATATAAAGTAGTGCCTACCCAATCCAACAATCAAACTCTATATAAAAAGAAGAGAAAAAAAAAAAAAAAAAAACTGGAAGACAGGAGATGAGTGGTGATGAGAAAAAGAATAAAGTTGGCTTTTATAGCATTAAAAATACCAACAAAATGAAGGATACAACAGCAGAAGAAGCAGTATTCCTGGATTTGGACACCAAAAAATAAACACCCTACAACAGTGTCTATACAGGCACTCTCTCTTTTCAATTAAACAACTTAAAACAACAACAACAACAGCATTATCATCCAAAAAAGAAAAGAAAAAAAAATTGTGCCGGAAAAACCCCCCCAACAAATAGCTACTCAACTGCAGGCGCAAAACCTGCAAAATGTTAGTCAGACAAAACACTGATTTTTCTAACAATCTCTTTCTCTACCCCTCAAAAAAAAAATGGAAAAGCTATGCAACCCAGATTGATTTCTCCCCCTCTTGATTGCATGCCAAATAATAATACCCCTCTCCTCCTCAAAAATATAAATAGAACATACTAATTAATTCTCTCTACTTGAAATCTAAGCCACAAAATTGCAAGACTGAGATGAGACCTCACTCAAAGTACAACTGCCACTTTCTCCTGCGAAACGAATGAAGAACAGTGGGCGATCAGAGGCTCATAATGGTCAGCTCCCGCGCCACACCAACCTGGATATGGTAATGTTTGTATAGTTAGCAACAGGAAATGGTAAACAAAAGGTTAGTAGCAACTTGGGGGATTTGGCCAAGAATGAAAACCAAAATGACAGAAGGCAGATGGCTCTTCCATTACCTGTTCCTTTCATGAAAAGAAAGAAAGGAACTTCGCAAATTTCGCTCCTGGGACGGTGTGGAAGAAAGAAGACACAATTTTCTTCATCAACCATCGCATCGGATCCATGTGCTTGCACCTTGAAGTTCATAATTCAGGTCTGAGGTCAGAAGCTTTGGAGACAAATTTGAATGTAAAGAAAGTTCAATGTTGAGAAGTGACTTCTACATATTGCAGAACAAGTAGAAGTTATAGAAAGAGGACCTAATTTCTGAACTACAGGCGCTGGTTCAAGTATCAGTAAAAATAAGCAACAGCTTGAAATTTTACTTCCTAGTAATAAAATATATTCAGAACCTGATTTCAAAACTTTCTTAGATAGCCTTCTTCAAACTTTTCCTTATGAAAGAAACTTCAAAATTTTCAACTCACAAAAATATCCTTAGAAACTATTGTTGTCTTGACTCTCGAGTGATAAACCATATAAAGTATATCCTTGATCCTAGTACTCTTTATGGAAGAAGAAAACTTCAATTCACAAAGCATATAGTTACCTATAAACATGAAATTGTAAACCAACAACAAATACTTGGAACCACTTCACATCTTGAACCATGAATGAAACTCTCACCTAGAAATTTCAATATCTCAACTGAACCTCAAATAGGGAATCACCTCATAAACCTTTTTAATTCCTTTCTCCAAATTTAGACTTACAACTCTTCCCCCACAAGCAGTTTCAGATTCACCTATTTATATGTAACCGAATGAACCCATTTAGACCAATTTGTCAAACATCACAGATTATGTATTACCCAGAGAGACAGATAATTATTAAAACTCAAGGCTAAATGAAAGTCAATGACCCAACATATCAAACAAACCCGTCAAAAATAAAATCAAGTCACAGAGGAAGAAAACCAGAAAGGGATTGGTTTAATAAAGGAAAAGAAATTCTCACAACGTATATCTCACGCTTGAACTCTGTTGCAAGACATTCAATCGCTATGTCATCCCCAAAGGCTGCGGCGTGGCCTTCTCTGTTCTCATCCACAGATAACAATCCGTCCTCTGTGTATTGCAGAGTAATAATATCGTATTCATCGCCATGGGAACCGGAAATTGACATGTATTTCGCCCAACTCGAACCGTCGTTTATCGGAATACATCTTTCTTTGTAAATCGACTCCGCTGCCGTTTCTCTTCGATCGGAGCAAGCAAAATCAGACGCAAATTTATGGAAAATTAAAGAGGTGAAATCATAGAGGGTTTCTTACAAAAAGAAATGACCTAGATCTCTAGATTTTCGCTGTGTAGAAGGTACAAATGGTTATAGAAGTGAGATTTGAGATTAATCTGACCAAGATTTGATACCTCTGCATGCCGATTTGAACGAGCTCGTCGATTGCTCCGTCCAACGCCGCCCGATCCTCTTTCTTGGCCAACAATTTAATCTCCTGAACCACATGGATTCCCCATCCATTTTTCAGATCCGGCGAGTACAGGTGCCTAATTGCGTCATTAATCACCTCTCTCTCCTCCATCCTAGCAGATCCAAAATCCTCCAAGAACCTCGTCACCGTCCGCCGCCGGAGCTCGCGGGCGTCGACCTCACGCGCCATGCTCATTGCCTTCTGAGATGCCGTAAACAGGCAGTTTCCATCAGAAGATACCTCACCGCCATGCGAAAGCCGGAACACCACGGATCTCAAGGGGGAGGAAGAGTCCTCATCCTCCGGATTCTTCCAGAGAACGCCCTTGGCATGAAGTCTCTGTAACTGCCTTCTCTGCTGGTCTTCAAGCCCAAGAACGTCGTCCCAGGCGGTGGCTACGGCGGCCGTGGTGGCGCTCGTTTGGTCAAGAAGATCTAGAGCTCCGTTAGCGTCTAGCGCGGCGGACTTCGGCTCCCTCCAATTAACCGCCGGCGAGGTGGTCGGAAACGTCTCAGCTACTACAGCCGTGGTGGAATCACATAGTAGCTTCCCCATTTGGAGCAGAAATGGCTATAATCTTTCTTCAACGTTCGGAGTATTTCTCTTCCGATGGCGGAGAAGTTGCAAGAGAGAGAGAGAGAGAGAGCAAAGAGAGAGAGAGAGAGGTGTTTAGGGCTAACGGATAGATGTACGAAGCAGGAGAAAGAAGACACGTGGACGAATCTGGACTGTTGAACGCGCATTTAAGCATGGATCCTCGCCCCAGTGCCCAACGGATTTATATGCTAATATGCGCCGTTAATCTGAACAATAAATATAATATAATATAAATTTTTATATTTAATTTGTTTGTAACAGCTTGAAATAAAGCTTCAATTTTTCTTTTTTTTTTTGGTAATATAAATTAATATGCTTTTTGTTGCTTTTCTTTTGTGGAGGAAATGAAGAGGGGTAGGTGGATTTTTCTCCCCCTTATTCTGTAATGCTCTTAAAATAATAAATCAAGAGAAACAATATTATTCAAATTGGCAAAATCTAACGTGTGAAATTCCATCCAAATTTGAATCTTTTTGTCAAAGATTTAAAACCTAACTTTACAATATTTTGGACTTTCTTTGTAGAGATTCAAGGTAAATTTTAAAGACCAACTACATCTTTTTTTTTATAATTCATCCTAAAGAGTCCAATCTACAACTACAATATTTAAAGGAAGTTATTAATATTTTATCCAATTGAATTATTTTAAGTCTGCAACTTAAAATTTTTCTGTTTAAAAAAATGTAAATTTATTACGATATTTCTCATAAAAATTACGGCATATTATAGCAAAACAAGTCCAATTAATTGTCAAGATTGCAACAATATTTTAGAGTTATAAATATAACTATAAATAAATAAAACTCTGTCTACGCACACTCACGAAAAATAATGTCTATTAATAAAATATTATTTAGTATTTGACGTCTATCAAAATGAATTATGTAAAAATTCTAAGCGTGCAAAAAATCTAAAAAGAATTTTCATATTTGTAACAAAATTTAAAAATTAAAAAAGAAAGTATTAGTTTATTTCTAACTCAGCCGAGCGGTTTAAGCCAATACCAATGCCTACTAACTCTGGTTAAAAATACCCGTTATTTTGTCCGTTTCTTGTTGCGATTTAACGGTAGTCTGTAGCTCAACTGCCAATGATTAATAATATTACAACAAAAATTAAACTTTTTGATTCAGTCCACAATTTTTCCTTTACAAAAAGGTAGGACGTAAAAGTAAAATTATAATTTTGTCCCCTTAACTTTGTCTCCATTTTCTATTTTAGATCCACTTTTTTTATAATTCGGAGGTGGAAATTTGAAATCGGAACATTACAACCTATATAGAATGTCTTAATAAATTGTGTTATATATTTAGATTGGCTTATAATTTAAGGGTAAATTGACCTTTTTACCTTTATGGTTAGTTTAGTGAGTCGTTTTAACTTTGCTATAAACTTGAATGTACGGTAAAAATTGATACGTGGTTTGCTCAGTTAATGATGTTCCCATGGCTGAACAAAACTATTTTGTGTATTATGATTCTTCTGGTAGTTACTATTCATGGAAAGTCCTCCAAATAAAAATTCTGATATTTGTGACCACTTTTAGTCCGCGCAGTTTCTTACACCTCACACCACAGTAGTTGAGGATTTATACTGAAATTTTCTTTTTAGCTAGTCGTTATTACCCAAATGCTCATATCCTAGACGTCGAAGTATATAATAAAGGGCTTGTTTGGTAACTTACATTCCCGTTTCTTGTTTCTGTTTCTTCATTTTTAATAAATAAAAATAGAATTGTATGGTCCAACATCCATGAATTCAAGGATGATCAAACAATATTTATGTTTATGTATTGTAATAAATTGGAAACCGAAACAAGAAATTTGTTTTGATTGTTTCTAAAATTTTAATACAATTTTGAGAATGTTTCCAGAAAAAGAAAAGCAAGAAACATAATTAGTTGCAAAATGATTAGAGGTGCGTTTAGTTGGTAATCAAAAAATAGAAATTTGAAAATAAGGAATTTAATGAAAATCAGAGTTGTATTCTTTGTTTTAAGTATTTTTCAGATATGTATTTGGTAGCAGATTTTTTATAATTGAATCTCAATTAAAAAAATTGTCCATGTGTGTTTAGTAATATATTTGTAAACTAGAAGGAGTTACAAACTAAATATTTAGTTTAATTTAAATTTATATTAATTAATTTATTAACATTTTTTATGAACTTTGTATAATTATTATTTTACAAGGTTATATAATTTATAATACATTAAATTTTACATGTTTTATATTTTAATTTTAACAAACGTAAAATGAGTTTATAATATGAAGTAATATATTTACCAATGTTTTTATCATTTTTAATGTAATTATACATCTTAACAATTTCAAATTTTAAATTTGAAAATACTGAAAACATAAAAAAGTCGTTTTCATAATTTCTACTGTTTGGATCATAGAATCCGAAAACAGCTTTCAAAAAGGAATATCTCAAATCTTCTCCAACGCGTATTCACTGAATCCACTGGAAACAAAAAACAGAATCCGAACTTCCAACCAAACAGACCCTAAGTTTCTTAATAAAATTTGAGAACGAAAAACAAGAAATTGGAACGTTACCGTGCCCAAAGAATCATATTTCTGGAAAAGCTTGCTACAGGGACAGGAGCCGCTGAAGGCTGAGGAAAAGGGTGAGAGATGGAAGTTCGATTAGAGTTGTTTAAGACAACTGGATTCCTCGGGAAGATGACCTTCAAGTCCCTTTCGTACTCATCTCTAAATGGAGATTCGATGGTTGCCGACTTAATAAACTCGAGAAGAATGGGATGTAGAAAAGATAAACTAGTTGTTGTACCCAGGGTGTTAAGTTTCCAAAAAGAGATGAGACGTTTATAATAAATATGGGCTACTCCTTAATATTTACAATTTCAAACATGGCGGCAAGGGAGAACACATATCGGTTTTGTGGGGCGGTTCTTTGCTTGTTTGGTTCCTCAATAGGACTGAATTTCAGTCTTCTACTGTAGCCCAAAGTGGCAAGAATTTCTTCTTTTAAATAAATAATCTTTGGTTTCAAAAAGAAAAAAAAAATCAGATATTAAAATTAATCTTATTAATTTCTTTACATCCAAATGTTATAAGGTTCGTATGAGATCAATCACGATACTCGAGTTGGAACTTAGCACTTTGAATGACCCAAGAAAAAACCTCTCATGTTATATTGTGGATGGAATTTTTGGAATTGGACAAAATAAATGGCTAACCTTAAGTTGATGACTACCCTTTCAAGATGATTATAGATTATAACGGTTATGCCCTATTGTGAGTTTGTTAAATGAATTAAATGACAAAAGCATGATGCTCATTTGAATTTTTTATGATAGCATCAAGGTTCGAAATGTGAATATCGATTAAAACTTTAGCGTCTTGATTTTATGGAAATGTCGATGTCGATGAAGATTTGGAAAAAAAAGTCGTGGAAGTTGTAGAAATTGCTTGAATTAGTACGTAAGACTTTAATGTAGGCTATAAGTGGTCACGTTTAACCGTCCTATCTAAAAAATAAGTAATAGACTTATGTTAATGTCGACATTGATAAAAATGTCAAAACAAGATCGTGAAAATTGATGAAAATTATTTGAATTAATAAATTAAAGCTCAATTGTAATTTAATTATGTTTTAGTAATAATTTCTAATCATCATTATCTAAAAAGATATCAACTATAGTCTTTAATTACATAATTGAACTAGATATGAAATATCGATCTAAAAATGAATAATGGTTAGAAATTCCAATAAATATTAATTTACTACTGTATAACTTTCAATAATAATTAAGAATTATAAAATAATAATAATTTGATAAGACCATCAATGGTAAGAAATCAGAATTAATTACATTTGGAATAAGTGAAATGTATCAAGATTAATAACAAGAATTATAAATCATAGAAAATAATTACAATTATTATGACTAATATGTATTAATACATAAAATAATAGTAATAATAATGCATATCCTAATTTATAAACAATCTCAATAATCACAACTGCATAAATTAAGATTACCTAATAAATTACTAATAAAATGAAAAAAAAAACAGAGAGAGAGAGAGTTGAAAACTAATACTAACTACATCAATAGAAAAGAAGAAGAATTTATTTTTTTTAAAAAAAAAAAGAAGAAAAAGAAAAGTTAGACTAAAATATAATAGAGATAACGATCTCTAAACTTTAATTAAGGAAAATAGAGAGATTGAAAAAGAATTTTGACTTTTAATTTATGAGAGATATTAAATAAGAGAGAATTGGAGAGTATAAGAGATAAAGAGTAATATTAAGAATTTATGGAAATAAAGTATATATATATATATATTAAGAATTTATGATGAGGCGGGAAGAAATCTAGGAGAGAGAGAGAAAATGTCGGGGAGAGAAAACAACGAAGTAAAGAATAGGAGAGTAAAAGAGAGAATATTGAGAACTTGCATTGAGCCGTGGATGTGAAGAAGAAGCAAATTGGAAATATTGACGTCGATGAAAATGTCAAAATTTCAATTTTATGAAAATGTCGATGTTCGTAAAAATGGTGGGAAAAATAATGAAAATCATGAAAATTATTGGAATTTACTTAGATTAGTGCACGAGACTTTGGTTTTTGCTAAATAAGGTTATAATTTATTATTTCTAATCCTCGTATATAAACATATAAATAATATATTGAAATATATTCAAACCCAACCAAATCTCGAAAAAATTTTAAAAATTTATGAAAATCATAGAAAAGAATTGTTTGAATTAATAATTTACCAATTTTTAATTATAGTGTCTATAAAATCTAAGTAATATTTATATGTTAATATCAAGAGTGACTTAATTAAATTATAATAGATCATTCTTTTATTGTTATATTTAAAATATGAATAATATTAATATGTAAATACCCATAAAATTATTGAAAGACTTTTTTCTTAATTCAAATAATATTAGACAATTATGAAAAATATGCAAATATAAATAAAATTATTAAAAGTTTCTTTGATTTCAAATTTTAAAAATTACGAAATTTGTAATAAATTATATAAAAAATAAAATAAATCTGAAATGTTTAAAAAAATAAAAAACAAAAACAAAAACAATAGGACTTAAAATATTTTATAATTATCAGTGTGAAATTACGTGAGAGAGCACTAGCCGCCAGGGATTGAAGGTGAACTTTGAACCTTCTTTACCATAGTTATCGGGCTTTTATGTTTAGGCTTGGGCTTGGACGTGATAGTTGTCGCCTGAATTTTGTAGTTTGAAATCCTCCCGATCTTTTAAGAATAAAGCTATTTTAGAAACTTATTTTCACAAAATGTCTAATGTTTACAAATTTTAAGAGTTTTAGATTTTTGGATTTAAAACTTTTTTAAATTTTAAATTTACCCTTATTTATGACATTTATATTTATTATAATTAATCTTTTATTTAAATGCAAAACAATAATTTTATAAACAATAAATTGTTGTGGGGCCTAAATCAATCATTCTCATAATTTCCCAATTTACTCCTTTAACATATTCTACTAAAGAATGAAATTTATTACAAAATATTCAATTATTCTCATAATTCCCAAATTTACTCCTTAATATATTCTACTAAATAATGAAATTTATTATAAAATATTTTTTCATTTCGTTACAATTTTTGGCCAAATTTCAATAATATAGCCATTATAATATACACTTATATGAATATAACATATATATATATATATATATATATATATATATATAACTATATCCGACTACCTTTTCATTTATATGAAAATATAAACAATATCCGACTATAAACTTAAGCAACATACACTTAATAATAGTGATATAAACCATAGTCATTATAACATCCACTTATATAGAGATATAACCTATATCTGGCTATAAAATATATATGACTATATCCCTCTAAAATTAACAAACAAAGCAAATAACCTACAAACCTTCTGGTTGGCGACTAGACAATGGTCGGAATAAACGGAAGGCTCGAATGGTCGACGGGCGGCCGATGACAAAAAAGAAACCTCGGGAAAAACGGACGGGCTGCCAAAGACGAAAGAGAAGCCAGACGGACTATTCCGGCAACGAAGAAAAATGGAGGCGGCGGCCGGAAACGAAGGAACGCAGACGGTGGCCGGAGACGAAGGAATGGACGGAAACAGAACAGTAGAGAAAGAAGAAAAGTTGGAGAGAGGAGGTTTTCGAATTTTTTCAATAATAGAGGATTTTGGGATTTGATATTTTTTACTTTTGTAAAGTCTAATTTGGCAAAATTTAAGGGATTTAAAAGATAACATACCAGTAACCAATTTTGGATTTTAAAAATTAATTAATATTGAGGTGAGATACAAAAAGATATATTAGTAAATTGAGTGATGAGTACCATCTTAAATGGAATTATTTCATGACAAAAGTGTAAATTCTATATCACTCAATCCTTTTATATAATTATAGTGTCTAAATAGCCTATCAATATACTGATCTCTATCTTTTAATTATTAGAGTTTGGTGGTCGACATGTCATCTCAAGATCTCGATATTTTGAGAGATGGTGAATATGTTGTAGGGGAAAAATGCAATTTCTCGTGCACCAACATGTTGGACCTCACTATAGTTGGTAAAAAATAATTAAAATTTAAAAATAAAATAAAAACAATTTAATTGATTGAAAAACAGTTTTAGAAGTGGTGCAAGTTTGATTGGAAAAAGATTGACAAGTAAAGGTAATGTGAAATATTAAATAAGTTGAATCACTCATTTTCAAGAATTAAAAATCTGAAGTGATTCTCCTCGAGTTCGTTAACATTTCGATACATCAATACTAATATGTGAAATGTCGATGTAAATAATAATTTGAATATCACTGTAAAGATCAATTATAATGCCAAGGATTTTTTGCTAGAATTTTGCAATTGTTATAAATCTTATATTAGAGTAGATGTTCATAGGTTTCGTTCCTATTCACTCTCATTATTCTCTCGTGAGTTACAATCTTCCATTTGTAGCACGCACCACTCATCTTTTTCTCTCGTGCTCTTTTGATATTCTTTGTTCTTCCTTTTATTTTTATATTGGATCACTCATCTTTTTCTCTCGTGCTCTTTTGATATTCTTTGTTCTTCCTTTTATTTTTATATTGGATCCCTGTAACTGAAGCTCGTTGACTAGTCAAAGTAGATGATACCTCCACCATTAGCACAAAGCTTCTGCTATTAAGGCGGGTTTTATTTTAATTTTTGTAACATGTAATGAATGTGTTCTGTATGTATCATATATAAAACATAAAACATAAAGCTACTAGTGACCAAAATATAACACATGCCAAAACGAGTCGGTTATTGACACATACCTCCAACTAAAAAGTTGTGAGTTCGATCCCCACCCCCAACTCCACATACTCAAAAAAAAAATATAACACATTATCCTGTAGGCTGTAACCAAGAAAACTCTAAGTACTAACAAAACAGTCGGCCAAAAAGTAGACATCCATTTTCCAGCCAAACTCAAACCCAGAAAACCATCATCATTAAACAAATTTCACCTCATGAATCATGAAACTGAAATAATATATAATTCCATTTTCCACCAAATGTAGAAATGAACTATAACACTGAAGCTTATGTTCGTTCATTATTCCTATGACAATTGACATTAAAACATTTCTCAATCACAGAAAACAACTGTAGCCTTGAACCGCCCAACGACGGATTCCACATAGTTCCCATTTCCGTTAGTTTTCATCTTTTATTCATCTCAAAGTATCTCAGCAGTCAGTCTTCATATTCTAGCCTGCAAGGACAAAGTTCAAGTCAGTCGAGATCGCCCCACCAAAAAATAAAATGAAATTAACAGGACGTTATACACTAAGCTAAACTACGACAACTAAGTTCATCGGTCATATCGTTAGGCTAATATTATTAAGATACTGGGGTGGGGGATAAAGACAAGCAACAGTCTTGTATATCCTTGAGTTTACTCGAGAGGGGATCATCCAAGTTCCTCTAATTATTTGGAGGTATTATTCCATATTTTCTTAAATAAATGGAAAAATCTTTGGTAATTCGGTTTCTATCACGACTTTTCTGCTATCACAGCAACCAGCCAGCAATGTCTAAAGTCTTGGGTTCAACACTTATCAGTCACCCAATTAAGTACTCCCCATGATCTTTTTTTAAGAGAAATTACCTAGGTGATTATGGAAAATTATTTTTTTAACAATATTTTATTTTGTCACTCCTGTTCCATATCCTCTGCAGAATGGGGATGGAAAGACCTGGGAATAAACTAAGAAGATGAGTAAACACCTCTAGTAAAGTCTCTCTTCCCACGCTCCCTTGTGATGCCTTTACATTATTCCCAATCATTTGTAAACCAAAAACATGCCAATTGGTAACATCTCCTAGCAGAAGAAAAAGAGGTCACATCGCGATCTACTAATAACACCTTTTCCGACGGATCACTCTGAGTAGATCACTTCAAACTGCAGATATTCTTCTTTCATTCTTCTTTTCAATGGGAAACGTAAACCTTAGTATTAAAAAGAATATGATCAGTACAAAAGGGGAGGGTGATGAGTCATCTCCTAACCCAAAATAGGAATTGCAAAAACTTTCTGATCTAGATCTAAAAGAAAGAGGAATAGTGACAAAAGTTAGTAACAATAGGAGCAATACAAAATGGACCAAAAGAATGAAAACTTCTAAAAATGTCCTGAAAAATTCTACAGCTACAAGTGCCACATAGGAGCCCTGCACAAATTCCACAAAAGGACAACAATATTGCTTCCCAGGAGCAAACCACCACCATCATCCAAAGGAAATTTCCAGTTCCCAATGGACTTGGGCACACACCAAAGGACACTAAACTAATTTCCTTGAAGGCACATCCAAATGCTGTAGGCATAGGTGGAGCAGACATGTGGTTAATCTCCTCAGTACTATTTTCTTAGAACTCTATTCTCCTCAGTACTGTTCTGACAATTGATACAACAAACTTCGGAATTTTTAGAGCTCTACCACCCAAATTTTGTAAGTATACTCTTAGAAAAAATCTGTTGTACTTTTGATAGCTCAAGGAAGAGATACACAAGAGACAACTCCCCCAGGTCGTTCATTCAAGGACAACATCTTAGAGTCTTCAATCTGAAGAGGACGAATATTACTACCACTGTTGGATTCCCCCACTCAACTCCACCACACGAAACCACCACCTAAGTTGGAGATTTTGACGGCAGACAACAATCCGCGAGAGAGAACAAGTTTGAATTAGAGATGGCACAAAGTCTAGGAGAGCACCCTTAAATAAAAAGCTATACATAACGGTAGTTTCTTCATACGAAAATAGAAAGAGATCATGTGGCTTCCCAATGGCCTGAGAAAACCTAAGGAATCCTTGAAAATTGTTGATTGATTTGTCAGCATCCACTAAAGGATCGATGTAGTACATAATAGGAAATGTATAACTTAAAATATTTCTCCATATTTGGTTAACAAATCTTTGATTTTGATTGTACCTTGTATTAAATGATAGATTCAAGATCTAATCTAAATCAGAATAGATGCAAAATCACGAAATTTTAGATGGAAATTTGGAACTCATAATCTGAACATTTTAGGAATGGTCTTTGCTTGTGCGGACACATTCTATTTTCCAAATCATTCATAAAAGCAATTTTTGCACAAAATGCAAGCACACTCTCCATATAACAGGTTCTCTCCTCCAACTCCCTCTCTAGGGTGGTGTATTTTGTGCAAAGTAGCAAATCCCAATGACACATTTTTTCTCAAATGACTTTGCAGATAAATTTTGGCCCTGCCAACCTTCCTCCTTCACCGTCTAAATGTCGTGTAATATCCGTATCTCGTGTCCATATTTGTCTTCTTAGCTATTCATAATAGTTGGGGTTCAGACAAGATGCATCTTCAGTAAGAGTGAATGAAGTATGTATATCTTCTTTAATTTGACTTCTCTTATTCAACAAATGACCGTAGGAAATATGAAACAAATAGAAGTGGGAGATGAATGCTTCAACTCGACACCTACCTGACATATGTCCTACACCTCAAAGCAATTCCTACGAGTATGCCAATGCAAAAAAGAGGATTTCCAAGTTCGCAAAAAGAAGCATCCAAAATTTGGGGAACCAAGAAAACCAATTGGCATTTTCCAAGCAGGTTAAAATCTCAAGATAAATTGTCTTCACAAACTTGTTAACCCAAAAATCAAAACGGTAGTGCAATTACCTTGAGACATGAAGAGTTAAAAGAACTCAATAAGAGATAGTGCATGGGGATGCCTTGGAAAAAAGGACCGTAAAGGAAGAAATTATTTATCAGCCTCAAGTTAACTAGCCTAGAGGACTTAATAGTAAACAGCCAAATGCATTAATAACAATCCTTCTGCAATACTGATTATTCAAGAATGAAGAGGAAATGAGAACAACATTATAGAAACCTTTCACAATTATCGATAATTGAACTTTAAAAATACCACTATGCCTTGATAAGAAGTCTGGCTTTTAGTTCCTCAGCCACAGCATCAATGAATTCTTCAGTATTCAGATAGTGGTCTCGAGAAAGCCTGCAACAAACATGGGAATAAAATTATAAAAGATAAGATATCAATCTGTAATGGCTAAGGAATGGGAAGAGGGCATTCATGACTAAACGATATGGAACTTACTTGGATCCATGAAGAATAAGAGCAAGATCCTTGGTCATCTTCCCAGATTCCACAGTATTAATACAAGCCGATTCTAGCTTCTCGGTGAAGTCTAAGAGACTAGCATTGTCATCTAGTTTTGCCCTTCAAAAAAGTGATATATAGTTAAGTCGTTGGCATAAAAATATTCCTTTGACCTCAAATGTTTAAGGGACCTAAGAGATATTAACCAAATCATATCTACCTGTGTGCAAGGCCACGTGACCAAGCAAAGATGGATGCTATACTGTTTGTGCTGGTTTCACCTCCTTTTTGATGAACCCTAAAATGTCGTGTAACAGTACCATGAGCTGCTTCTGCTTCAATTGTCTTTCCGTCAGGGCAAACCTATCCAAAGTACAGACATACATCAAATTTTGACAAGGATACGCATTAATACTGAAGTCCTATTTGATTTAAACCTCTTAATACACTTCAAAACTGACAAAATTGGGTAATTTAATTGCTACACTATATGCGTTTCAATGGTATAAAAAGCATATCCACATAAAAAGTTGGAGCACATCAGCAAAAACTATTTTCCTGGAAGCCTACAAGGCACGCAGATATTTTTTCCCCAATATTTGGCATGACACAAAGTGCCATTCGAGATTACTTTTTCATGATGGTAAGTCAAATAAATGTAATTATTGACTCAATTTAGAGAGATGCCTTTACATATTTATATCTCAATGAAGTTCATAGAATTAAACAATATAGAAATCAAACTCAATCTGCTAATATAAGGACTTGCATATTGTAGATCTTAGTAATAATGAATTAATGACTTGAAATCGAACATACCAATACAGAAGTCATCAACCCAAGAGATCCAAATCCTAAAACCAAATACATCAAGTTAGAAATTAAATGGAGAAAATGCAGGCCAAGCATAACTTTAAGTAATTTCCATAGCCCAAGAAAGCAACCACGTGAAAGAAATTATAAAAACAAAGGGCGAGCTGCATAAGGTACATGGTTAAATCTTCACACACCTTGAGCTAAGAAATCACTCTGTACATCTCCATCATAGTTCTTGCATGCCCAGACATAACCTCCGTCACTCTTAAGTGCATAAGCCACCATATCATCAATGAGACGGTGTTCATACCTTTTAGAACCAGAATAATTATTTTAACATTTCAAACTGGGAATAACTTTAATAAAAAAAATTAATCCAGACACCATTAAAAGCTATTCACCATATGCCAGCAGCCTCAAACTTCGATTTCCACTGGGATTCATAGACTTCTTGGAATATATCCTTGAATCTTCATTCAATACATGAACATAATGAAAGAACATTATTGGTACAGGGAACGGTAAGAAAAAATTACCACAAAAAATTTCATATAACAGTCCACATACAAAATAACAAATCAAAGTTCATACCTTCCATCATATTTCTTTAGAATAGTATTTTTTGTGCTAAGGTAAAGTGGCCATTTCTTTTCATAAGCAGTGTTCATTGATGCCTCAGCAAAGGATCGGATTGACTACAAAGCAAAGTTACATTTAAAAGTTAATTTGAGTCACTTGCTACAACTCGAAAGAGGCTAATAATATCTTCTTAACTGAACCATGAGGATACTATAACAAACCTCGTCAGTATTATACATGGATAATGCTACTCCTCCAGCACCAGTAAAATTGAAAACCTCTATCTCTGTCTTCTCTTGCCCCTCTGGAACAGTCAGCATGTTAGGAGACTTTCAAATAAAAACAATTGTAAGATTCATTAAACAAGAAATATGATTTTGGATCTTAAAAATACCAAAAACCAATTTCAATTTTCCAGGTCCTTTGATAACTGTATCAGTAGCTCTGTATTGATCACCAAAAGCATGTCTCCCGATACAGATAGGTTTCGTCCAACCTGTCAGCAACCCTAATCAGTACACTTTTCTAACCCGAGATGAAATAAATGTGAACATCAATTACCTGGGACAAGGCGAGGAACGTTTTTGCAAAGAATTGGTTCTCTGAAGACAGTACCTGCAGAAGATACCAATAGATGAGCCTGATAGTAAAAATATGAGCCTAGGAAAGCTATTCTGAGACAAAATTTTCTTCAGTGTCAAACAATTACAAACTATTTTTAAAATATATACAAAATGCAGTGGACTGTGACAAGAACACCAAAAATATACTTCCAATTTTTCTCTGCTTTTAATCAAATATAAATATACAAGCCATAATATAAATTACAGATGGTGGATGCTCTAACCATTCAGAATATTCCTGATTGTCCCATTTGGACTTTTCCACATCTGCTTCAAGCTGAATTCCTTAACACGTGCCTCGTCTGCCAATCATCATTGCTAAAATATAAGATCTTAGGTGCTCTTTAAAATATGGCAATGTAAAAATTGACAAAACTAAACATAAGCTCTTATATAGGATGCTCTTTTCCAATGAAGTAGAGCAATTTATACCTGGAGTAATTGTTGCACATTTGATAGCTACATTATACCTAGAACAAAATAGTTGCCAAATAACATAAGGTCAAGGTTAGAACATCCTGACTTCCAAAATGAATACGGAACTCAAAAAATAAATGTAAATAAAGTGCATCATAATTTCTCATCAAACAAGTTCTACTTCATGATTGTGTTAGCTAGAGGGTCAAATTAGAAGCATTAGATACATTAATAAAAAAAGGCTTCAAATAATTATTGCTAGTAGCACCACATGCACATTGGGAATACATACTTTAAAGTAGCTTCTGCACTTTCAACTGTAACTTTATCATCTGTCGCATCACGGTGTGGAAGGCCAAGGTCAAAATACTTGATGTCCAATTCCAAAAAGGGGAAAATAAGCTGCAAACAAGACAAGAATGATATAAACCAGATTCCTTGCAATTAAAATGCACATATATACATTATTAAGAGTGAACAATACCTTATTCTTTATTGACTCCCAAATAACTCGAGTCATTTCATCTCCTGTAGAAAGGATCCGGAGATCAACATTATGAAAAAGAAAAAAAAAACAAAAGAAACAATGTAGTGGGGAAAAAGAACCAAAGATACAGTGCAGAAGAGTTGAAAATCTAATAAAATTAACATTTCCCAGTTCTTGAGAATTCAAAGAAACTTCTACTCTTCCACATCTGAACAAGTGATGCACCAGTCATGCATAACATGAAAAAAATTTATCGAAGGCAGAACATCATTGGCTCTAAAAATCTTCACATTAATCGCTAAAATGTGGCTGCAGCAGTCTGACTAGAGGAAAAAGTAGTTGAGTCATAATTAATTCCAGAGTATTAGTAAAAGAGTAGACTCTTCACTCGACATAACAAATTTATGGCACTAAGTGGACCAAGTATATCATGCAACAGGATATTTATTATGAAGAAGATCCAGATGTTACTTCCACTAAATTCCACAGCTTCTCCTTTGATGTAGAACGGAAGCTAACAAAAAAGTAAAGATCAAAACAAAAAAAACAAAAAACAACAACAAAAAGCTCACTTTGAAAAAAAATATATATCACCGAGGGAAAACAAAAGAAGGTCATCCCTGGGCCACATATGTCAGGAGAAGTGGAACAACGACTTACAACAACATAATCACTTTAACCGAAGTACATACAAGAACAGATCAAGCGTATTCACAGATGCAATAAGCACCAATCCATACACAAAAACAAAAACACCATGATCTAAAAAACTACACAACGTCCTTCTCAGATCTAACAGCAAAAAACAAACACGAACTCTCTCCTAACAGATGGAAAACAAAAATCACCATTCCCAATTATATTCAGCCATTATAAGGAGAAAATGGTAAGAAGCAATCCGACAGCATCAATATCATAAGATAGATTGATCTCAATATGAAAAACGAAAAAAGTTGAAAAATCTGAATATATTGCATTAGAAGAAGACTGAAATAAAGAAATACAGCCTCACCGTCCATCTCAACGATGGGATTGGCGACCTTGATCTTCTGAAAAGCCATGATTTCTCTCTTGCCTCTCTCCAGACGAACTAATCACAGTGAATATCGAATATGAGGGAGGCGAAAAATCGAAGAGAAAAATAAAAATGGAGAAAATGGAGAGCAGCAGTAGGTGGAAGGAGACCGCCGGAGTCCATTTTATAGTTGGAAAAAGAGAACTTTTTTCAGAAACCTTTTTTTTTCTTTCGTGCATTGCCCCTTGGTCTGCCCTTAATTTACTCAATTGCCATTGTTTTAGTTCAAATTGTCTAAACTTTTTTTTTTCTTTTTAAGTTAATTTACGAATTTGGTCACGGCACGAAATTGTATAAATTTCAAAAAAGTCCATATTATGTTCTTTTATGCCAACCTAGTTCAACCAGAGTCATTTATGTCTGTCCGGCTATGAATTCGAATTCTCATATGAAAAAGTTAAAAGCTTTTTATATTCAAATTCAATTAATCAAATAAATACGAGCGAATATCTATTCCATGATTTATCTTTTACAATTATTTTTAATTTTGTGATTTGAAATGGTATAAATTTAAAAAATAATATTTTTAGGTATGTTTTTAAGTGTTTTTAGATTTTAAACGTAAAATTACACTGAAAAGAACAAAAAGTTTGATAGATATAGTGATTCATATTTTTGTTAAAATGGAAACATCTTGAACATAATAATATAGTCATTCTATTTTGTTTAGTACAAGAGATATAGTAAAGCTGATGTTGACGAATATATAAATATTTAATTGATGATTATGTTATATTTAATTATAATATGGTGCATGATGTAAATTAGTTCATAAATTCCACTTATCCGTGTGTCACAAATATCATTCTGTTCAAATATCAATCCTAAATTTCGATCAAAAAATTTTCCACATTTTAAAAATCAATGGAAGAAAAATACATAAAGAGAACTAAGACTACTAAAGATAGAAATAAAACTTTTAAGAAGATAGGGACATAGATGAACTCTACCATAGAGTAGTTTAGACACTTTCTATGATTTAACTTTAATTTATTATATAATTTGCCTTTAATTTTTCAAACATAAGGTTTCAATTAAAAAAAAAAGTTAAGTATGTGATTTTCTTCCACCACTTAAGGAACGAGCATATCAAAATGAGCATAGTTTACCGATAATTGACATATATCTTCAACCAAGAGTTTGTAAGTTCGATCTCTCATCCCCACCTCAACATATTATACTAAAAAAATTTTCGAACACACTTATCTTTTATCATTTATTATAAATTTTTTTCTCTCATTACTCTCCTCTCCTGCCGTACTCCTCTTCTTTTTTTTTTTTTTTTTGGGTGTTCAACCAATGTACATAGGAGTTTGGTGGGTGGAGAACAATTCAACTTTAGTTTAAATGCAATAAATATTTTATCTATTACTAGTTTTTTTTTTCTTTTGAAAATGAGCACTTTCATTAAAAGTCACGGTAGAAGGTGATGGGCAATTGCAGACTCATCAATGATACCAACCAAGAAAGTGAGAAATCCATAAACTATAGAGAAATCATTCATAGCTTTGGATGCGATATAAAGTGGGTTAACTTGTTCATATTGCAGTTTACTCCATTTATAATTTCCTTCCCTTAGAGACTATCAGATTCAATAGAAGTTCTTCGAATGTCCAAATCGACTTGCTAATTGAAGTCGTTCCTCCATCGAAAGGCTTTCAACCATGTGATTGATGGAGAACTAGGTCAACCTTGATATTTTGGCATGTTCATTTCTTACCATCACCAAAATTCCAGTTCGTATACTTCATTTTCCTACCCACAACATCGTAGGCATCTTCATCCAAGTTGACAGAGAGGGACACCCAAACCAATATCGGTATGCCTAATTCTTCCAACAACTCGAAATTCCCGTCCATAGAAGGCAACTTGTTATGAGGCTTGAGCACGACTTCTTCCAAATACGACGAAATCTATTTGCATTCACTCTAAAACAAAGAGTGATCGATCATCTCACTTTTTGAGTTACAAACTAGGCAAAATATGGTGAGACCTCAACTCCTCTCTTTTGTAAATTTATTCTATTAGACAAACAATTGTTGTAACTTTTCTATATACATTTTTTTACCTTAATGAAGATGTTCAACGTCATAGAACTCTAAACTGAACTATACTCAAACGGATACTCTCCACTTTCAAGTTAATAATATTTATATTATGCCCCTCATTTTATCTTTCTCATTAATGTTATGCAATATAGTCCCTCATTTTTCCATCAAATATCAATCACTCTTTACATTATTCTCATTTATTCTCTCTATTCCAAATATTATCCCTCCCCTTTCACCATTTTGATTTTCTCTCTCTCCAACATATTTTGCAAGATGTTACTAAATCTCTCTCCCTCACATGCAAGTCATTCACATTCTCTCCCCCACAAATAACACCATTCTCTCTCTAACACCTAGCTTCTTACTCTCATTTTCTATTTCTTTTAAGGCCCATTTACTTCAAGCAAATGAGAAGGAATACAAGTGAAATTCTTTGCCTGACGCTTTATAGGAATTGAATTAATTAGCATGACCCACCTCGAACTTAGGAATCACTCCTCCTAAAAACGAGTAATTTTATTCCTTTCCTAAAACTTCATCAAGCAGGCCTACACTTTTTCAGTAATTACTATTATTGTGACCAACTTTTACTCAATCTAGCAACGACAACAAAAATTCCAACTTCATGGTTGGAGGTATATGTCAATTACCGCTGAGCTATGCTCGCTTTGGCTCCTTACGTTTTATTGATTTTTCACCTTCAAACAGGTTGCATTTTAAATATATAAGGTCTAGACAACAATATCTCTATATTCCTAAATATCTCCACAAATGATATGATATTACATATTTTGAATATAATCTTCACAACTTTACTTTTAGTTTGATCTCAAGAGCTACTTTACCAATAGAGATATTGCCACGTATCTATATATCCATATAGTCATCGCTTTATTTAGTCATGTAGAACTTTGATTGGTAATGTTAAAAGAAAAATAATTGCATTAATTTTTATTTCGACTCATTCTCGTTTTATTCGTTCACATGTGATATTGCCACTTTCCTTCTCTTTTCTGTTACTTTTTAGATTTTAATGTTTTTCTTAACATATAATATTTAACCACTTATTTAATATATTTTTTTAATACTGGGGAGAGGAGATTCAAACTTACAACTTATTGATTTGAGACATATGTCAATTATTGCTGAGCTATATTCGTTTTGGTTTATTCAATAAATTATTATACCGTAACAAATAAAATATGACATTAAATTATGAAATCTATAAATTATTATCAATTAATATATAAATTACTTGATATGCTGTCTGTCATCTTCAAGAAAAGTTATTAAATATTTATTCAGTAACTACTGCAAACATATTTATTAGATAATAAACATTAACTATTGGGACTCGCGACAAACCTTATGTTCTAATAGAGACAAAAGTTACGAGAATTATTCCAGAACATTGAAATCTAGGTTTTATTAATAATAAAAAACGATGGTGTTCTTTTATTAAATAAAAACGATGTGAAAATTAACTTTTTAAAAACCGAGTCAATGAATAATAATAATTTTTCGTACCCCACTCAAAAGTTAAACTATATTGATTCTAATTCTACCTAAACTATGCTTTGGTGTTGATATAATAATTGATGTATTTAATTAAACCAACAAAACTAATTTAATCTCATCGAATTTTAACATTCCAAATTGCACCCTTAATTATTAGGCATCCACAACACAATAGGAAAAAAAATTCAGTATTGCTATCCTGAATTTTACATGAATAGATATATAAGAGAGAAATTAATTAATATTTCGTGACCATACATCAACAAGTTATATGAGAGTAGCGATTATATTGGATAGCCTTTTATTTGCTGCCATGAGAATAAAAATGGCCTATCGCATTAGGTAGGGGCAAAAGAATTCCATCGTTATCTCGATGGTGCTACTAACAGCTTTGAAAAAGTGGCGGTTGCCCTTTCTATAAATATAAAAAAAAAAAAAAAAGAATTGGAAGAACATATAAATTAGGAAATTGAAAACAAAAGAATTGGCCCCATTATTAAAAAGGAGAAATAATTTGAATGGGGGTTTTATTTTATGAAGAGGAAAAAAAAAGTTGTATGTATGAAAGCAAAAGGCAATTTTAGTTGTTAGCCGCCAGAAGGGTAAGACGGTCATATTAGTTGGCTAAAAGTCAACATCAGTGGCCAAACTGTCAGAAAATATCTTAAAATATAAATATTGGATTGTTGAAGATATGACAACTCCATTTGAAAACTTATAGGAAATATCAAATCAGCATTTGCTGTACTAAATAATAATAATAAAAAAAAAAAATCAAAACAACCTCGTAACTCAATTGGCTAAATATATCTGCACATCATTGTACTCAGTAGTCTTAAATATAGTCGACATTTCTACATATCTACAGATTCGACATCGGATAAATCAATATTTTCATATTATTTTAAAAAATTTTAAAAATTTTAAATATATAAAAAACAAAACTAATATAAATATAACATTAATATTATTCATTTTTAATTTATTTATAAAATTGGAAATGCTTATTTATTTTTTTAGTACACGTGGGGTGGAAGATTGAATTCACAACCTCTTGATTCGAGATAGATGCCAATTACTCGCTTGGAAGATGTTTGCAATCGCTTTAGGCGGAAATGCTTATCTGTTAATTGGAATAATTTTACAAATATTTTTTATTTTTATAACCTTTCCATAAATATTCATCGACATCAATAGACCTCGACATTTTTATCGACATCAACATTTGAAATCTTAATGATACTGAAACAAATCATACTTTTTGTAATCACATAATGTTGGTTCAGTAAAATTTAGATTTCTTGTTTCTTATTTATGTTTTAGTGTATTTAAAAAAAACATGACTATATTTGTTTTAAAAACATAACTATATTTGGTAACTATTTTTTTTATTAGGGAAATATGTCTAATCAAAATTTTATATAAAATTTAATTTTTTAAAGTTACATATTCAAAATTTTAGTTATATTTATTTTTCAAAAAAATATTTATTAATTATTTTAGAAATTAAGAATAATAAAATAAAATCTTTATTTATGTTTAAAAAAAATTATAAAACAAAAAAATTTGATTTTGTTGACATAACAACTATCAACTTTTTATATTCTAAGAAATTGGAAGCAATTTATATTATAAGAAATTGGAAACAGCCAACAAAAATGAGAAGGCTTTCTAGAATCATTGCTGTACTTTTCCAAATTTAAAATTGTGACCAAGTTATTTCTATATATGGATAAGGATAACACAACCAATATATTTGGAAAGTTCTAAATGAATTATAAAATAGTCTTCAACTTGATACTTTGAATTCAATAAATTACAATAAATCTGTTCTATATTATATATAAATGGTGTAATTGTTAAATAATTTTATATTCTCATTTCACACTTCAAATTTGGCTTTCATTTTTATTTTTTCCAAAATTAAAAGATAACCTTTATTATATAACTTAAAAACTTAGGCTGTCAAAAAAAAAAAAATATATATCTATATATACACACACACACAATAATAATACATATACACACAAAAACATACCCAAAACTTTTTTTTTTTAAAATAACAACGAACTTAGAGGGAATAAGTTCCAACCATGGTAGTCACTTACCTAAGATTTAATATCTTATGAGTTACTTTATTAACTCATACGGTTGATCCGTGATTAGTCGACCTGCACGCAAGCTGGTCCAGACACACGAATATAAAAAGAGAAAAAACAAACATATCAATGATTTTTTTTTTAATTTAATACTGATATAGCATTCTAATTGCGGATTACCTGACGAGTTAATTTTAAATAGGTTCAAACATTCGAGAAAAGGTTTAGGGACTTATTATTTTAAGAGTACAAATAATAAATAGACACCATCATGGAAGTTAAAAATCATATTTATAATTAACTTTTTTATAAACATTTTAAGGGTTGTCTCACCTTTTTTCCCCTTTAAGGAAAGGAAAGATCATATAGTAAATAAACATAAGCAAAAAAATGAAAGGACGGTCAAATTTTATTGTTTCTTATTTATAGTTTTTATTTTTTTAAGAAGCATTTTTAGTAAATTATGTAGAAATTTTAGAAATAGTTTTTAGTTTCTTATTTATATTTCTAGTTTTTCCCCCAAACATAGATAAAAGTATTAATTTTTACCATTTTTATTTATAAAAATGCATAATAACATTAAATATAACATGTCATTTTAGAATATTTAATTTTAAATTTCATATAAAATTTTTACTTTTTCTTTAATCTAGGGAGGTTCACGGGTTGGATTGAGTCGAATTAGGGGTATTTTTGGGACCAATCCAAAATTTTGGGTTGGCCATATATGAGAACCGACAGGTCTAAAATTGATGGCCAACCCAACCCAACCCAAAATTTTCGGGTTGGGTCGGGTTGGGTTGTCAGGTTGTTATTTTTTTTCATATATTTTTCTAACCTCAAAGGTACAAAATGGCTCACGTAGAAGAATCAAAACCTCATTCACGGGGCTCCTTTCGTGATGGTAGAGAGGGTAAGGTCGGCGGCGATGACGACAGGCTAAGACAACGATGTGAGCTCCAAAGACGGGCGGTGACGAGAGCTGCGAAGGACGATGGCGATGAGAAGCTTGAGTGAGGGAAGAAAATGAAAGAGAGAAACTTGAGAGATATAAGAAAATGGAAGATAGAAGACTTGAGAGAGGGAAGAAAATGGAGGAGAGAGGCTAGAGAAAAAGGAGGAGGGAAAGTGAGATTGAAAAGATGAAAAGAGCTCTCACCTAAAATGAATGGGTAGGATTAGAAGTAATGGAGAGTTGAGATTAAAGATAAAAAAAATTATATATTTATAAAGATATTATTATATTATTTATAATTAAAAAAATATATAATATGCAAAAATTCGGGTTGGGTTGGGTTGGCCCGAATTTTTAAAGGTTGAACCCCAGACCCAACCCAACCCGATCGGGTTGGGAAAATTTCAACCCAACCCAACCTAAACCTTCATCTAACTCAACCCATCCTTTACGGTTTGGGTTAGGTCCATTGGGTTCGTCGGGTCGTCGGATTTTTTGAAAACCCCTACTTTAATCTAAAATTTGAGAGAATAAAAAACAAAAAATGGTTACCAAAACGTGTTTTTGTTTTTTTTTTCTTCAATAAAATAAAGGCAATATACTTTCATACTTTTAAAAAAATGTCCATTTGATATAAAAAAATAAAAAAAAGTGTCCATTTTGATCATTTAATTTAATTTTTAATCTCGTATTCTCATCACAATTTGTGTTAAAATTTAGCAAATAGAAAAAGTAATAGTCACTTTTTAAAAGTACAAAACCAAACCAAAATGAACATTTTAGAAGTACAAGAAAAAGTTTAAGTAAATGACTTGAAGCTAAAAGTACATAGACTAAAATAATATTTTAATCTAATAAATAAAAACAAGCAATAAAAAACAGTTATCAAATGTAACTCTATCTTCTGTTAATGGAAATGGAAAATGAAGAAAAAAAATAAGAAAAAAAAACAAAGAAACGAAAAATAAGAAACAAAGAATGAGGAATGTCCTAATGGAACATATCTTAAAATATTGGGTGGTGGTTGTGGTGGGAGAAAGAGAGAGAATGGGTGGGGGCATTGTTGTAGAAATTAAACTTTGCAACCAAAATGACAAAGGCAAATGGATTTGTTGGAGAGATCGGATCATGGATGGCATCATCTCTTTCTCCCACCAAATAGTGTTTGGTTTGGTGGGTCAAATTAGTCCCTAAATTTAAAAAAAATAACTTACTATTTAATTCTTGAATTCTTCAAAATAGTTCAATTTGGTCATTGACATATTTTTTTAGTTAATTTTTAACCTACCTACCGAGAAACGGTAAATCCGAACATGCCTGCAAGCATATGGTGAAAACTGCAGATTTGTGTATCTGTTTTCAAATCTTATAGTTGCGAATATTTAGAAGAAAGGAGAAAAAAGAAACATGGTAAGCGTAAATCAAACCTCTCAACTCGGTTACAATCATAGGTTCAAACTTTCAACTTTCTCCCAAACTCAGGCAGTGTGGTTTCAAACAAAGCAAATTCAACAAAAAGGCTAAAATCTACCCCCACCCAACCCAACCCAAAAAGAAAAAAAGATTTTTAGAAAATGTCACAAAAGTGATTTTTGATTGGTCTCATGTCATTTGCATATTTCACATGAATTTGCAGTTTGTGTTATTTTTGTAAACTTTTAAACCTAATTTCTCTCTGGGACTATTTTTGCAAAGCATTTGAGGAATAGGAGGATTCTGTGGTTTGAAAAGATGTCCCTATTGTGTTGGTTTCTTTTCTGAAGGTGGGTTGTTTTATTTTTTGCTGCATAATAAGTAATCATGTTCATCCTTTAGGAGATAAAATAATATTATAGTCAAACGGAGGGTGAGGCTTGCAAAAGTGATGCAAAGAAATGATTACAATCAATCAAAGTGAGTGTTTAGTTTGTTTGATACTTTGATACCAAGTAATTCAATAACAAGTGAACCACGATCAAAATTCAGTATCTTAATAACTCAGCTGGTTAAGACATGTATCATCAATAAAAATGTTGAAGATTCAAATCTCTACCTACACGCGGTTGAACTAAAAAAAATCCAGTCTTCTAGAGCTTACTTGAGTGGGCGAAACTTTCCTAGAGGTTAATGACGGTAAACCACCAGCATAATGTAAGGAGTAGCAATACCCTGCTATAAAAAAGAAAAAAATGATAACAATTTGGCATCAAAGGCAACCAAACAAAGAAAAAACAAAAAACAAAACAGAACTTAACTATTGTCAAATAATTTCCAGACAATACCAAGCAGCTATTGCGAGAATGGTAAATCATTGATAACACCCTATCCACACAGGTACGTTAATACTCATACGGAATCCGAATATAAGCACCTGTTATCATCTAAAAAATGGATGGTTTGATCCTGTTTTCATGCAATTGTTGAACTCAAAACAGGAAAAAAAAAACCATAGTAGAAAAAGAAAAAGAGGAAGAGCAAACCTATCAGTGCAAATTCTTCCACCCAATCCGCCATCAAGGATATCGAATCTCAATTTCTCTCAGATGAGTGCTTGTCCAGAACTGCCTTAGCTAGATTACTGAAGCTCGCACTCTCAGCCACGGCATATCTTTTGATGACATCTACCACTTCTGGTTTCATAATCTCTTCCTTATTTGCTGCATTGCAGAGATAATAGAGGGCACCAAGTGCATAATTCACCTGATAAGTATTGTTCGAGTTTACCACGTGAGTGAGTGCATTTTCAACTGTTGCTGAATTTTACACATTTGCACTAATGAAAAGGTACCAAGGTCCAAGAGAGTAAAATACAGTGAAGTTCGATATTTAATTAGGAAAAGAAAGAAAGACAGGAGAAAAGATGAATCATGTTCATAATTTTCATACAGTAGGCCCAAATATTTATTCCAAAGACCAGAAGATCAATTTCTTTTCTGGTAATTTTATTTCTAATCTAGAGATTTAAAGTCCCCCTTATTGAACTGATATGGAATTTTGCCTACCCAAAAAAAAAAAGGTATTTTTGTGGAGCTTGGCTAATGAAAGCCGTAACACACGTGAGAAGCTCCAAAAAAAGCTCCCTCACTGGACTTTATCGCCTTCATGCTGCTTCTGTATTAAAAGCGCAGAAAATCCAGACCATGTATTCCTACATTGCCCTGTGGTATTTATTCTTGTGTGTCCAGATCAGTGGAGGATTGGCTTTTTGAGGCGTTACAGGGGAAGTCCTTTAAAACTTTGAAGGTGTGTGGTTAGAGCCTCCTTTGGTGTTTATGGAAAGAAAAAAACCAGCGTGT